CAGGCAAGAAACGTTCGACTCTTGCCCTATGCATATGTAGGATCACACTGCAGGTGTGCCAATGCAGACATCGAGCTTCAAGTTGTGCGACACAGGACCTATGCCAAGCGAGTGGGCGGAGCTCTCGAGATGGAGCACATCACGGAGACGTGACTTATTCGCTAGAGATGGGCAGTCGTCAATAAAAGCAATGCGGAGAGTGGGTTGGTAGGGGCATTTCAATGCAATGCCTGCCCTTCACTAAGGTGAGGAATGCACAAATCACATGCAGGACTACGTAGGCGCACACACAAAAGGTGTTCCTTCAGGTTGGGTCAGGTTGGGTATTGAGAGGCGGCGTGTGCGGCAGCTGTTCCTCAAGCGCCGCCAAGACAGACAGCACAAGACCTCACCCGACAAACCACAAGAGCCACCTCAGCCAGCCGCCCCGCAGCCCCCGCAGCACCCACAGCCGCCCACCGCCCGATGTAACATCATCATCCATGATGACTTCGACGATATTTGCGATGACGTTGGCGCCTTCGCTATTCTCGCCACCCTCATCGTCGCCTGGTGAGGATCCCGCCTGACCCCTTCCATACACACGCACACAGCACCACATCATTTACTCATCGGGCGTGTGTGTTTCAGGCTGTGGCAAGGGGTGTGCCATGTGGTGTGCGATGTCAAGCGTCGCGTCATATAAGAGACAAGACGTAAGAAGACGCACAGCGGATGTGGGGGATGGATGGGATGCATCTGCATGTTGATGGTAAGTATGTCATGCCGTCCGTCCTTGTTTGCCTATGCATTCAGGCTAAATCAACCCCAACACTTAGTGACGGTCTGCGAGGGTGAAATCATGATGCATTCACAAAAAAGGAGAGAGATCCTGTGGACGGCAACCATAGTGCGTGTGTATGTGTTGTGTCTGCTCCAGACTGGGAAGGGAATGCCCGCTGCTGCCAAGGCATCGCGGGGATACACTGTAAGGCGGAGGGAAATACCGACAACCCGCCCGACTCTAGCCACATCTCATGCCCGAACCCGGACGCCAACAAGCCCCCGCACCGACGGCAGACGGGGAAGTCGTTGTGCACCAGGGAACGGCTGCTGACCACCGGCATGTGGGCGACCGAGAGGGCATCCCACCGCAGTCGCCCATCTCAAATCGACTTTATTCGGGATTGGGACCTGAGGCAACAGTCATGGAACTCGTTCGTTCGCTCGTTTTCGTCGGGGCACTGGCCCTTGCGGCTATCACCTTCACGTAAGAACACACAGCGGACCACTGAACAGCGTGGATGAGATGCATCTGCACGTTGATGGTAAGTATCTCATGCCGTCCGTCCTTTTTTGCAGCATTCAGCGAATCGTCCTGAACACGTAAACGTTGGGCGGCTGCCCGCCCGTGTCTGTCTGAGTTGTGACTGGGAGACCACAAGGGGTGAGCCGTCAGCAGGCAAGCGGGAATGTCTATCTCCCGACTGAGACACACGTTTGTGTCTCCATGTGCCTTCAGACATCGCTGCCTCCATTTTATATCTGTGGACTCGTCAACAACGTCAACTCGCAGTGGGCTTCATTGGTGGGCTTCGTCCTCGCCCATTGGCCAACAGCGGCCCCAGCCAACGACCGGCCTCGCATGAGCTGGCCCATATCGGCTGGTGGCCGCTCCGCCGAATCCGCCCTTTTCGTCGTCCTCCGCGCCCCGCCGCAGCTGCCACCATCACAAAAGGTCCACTTGCCCCAACAGCATGAGGACCACCGCACGAGGGGCAGCAAGCAGATCAAGGTGAACCGATACACACATGTCTCCATGTGTCTTGTGTCTCTCTGTGCGTGTCAGACATCGCTGCCTCCATTTTATATCTGCGGAGACTTCAACAACGCCGACTCGCCACTGCGTCGTCACTCGTCGATCTGTCTGTATGTCTTTCTGTCTGTCTGTCTGTCTGCCTGGATGTCTTCTTGCGTTGTGTCTTTTGCAGGCTTCCTGGCACATTCTCACCTGAGCCGAAGTCTTGGAGGCTCGTCCCTCAGCGCGCGAGCGCCAGCGAGAAAGGTAAGTGGACAAAGTTGCACTCCAAAACCATTATGGATTCGTCCTTCACCAGAGATGATGCTAATCAAGAACCGCTCATGATACGGCAGCCAAAGCGAGTTTTCGACTACTCCCGCGAAGATCACTCAGCTACCGGAGACCGCAGTCGCCTATCCACCTTGGTACCGTCACACTTGGATGTCCTATACCTTGATGGATCTCTTTCATGAGGACGTCGCTCTGAGGACTTACGGCAGTGACACACCGCCACCGCTCCACGCAGCAGCATACGCCGAAAGACTTGAAGAAGTGTCCGGATATATGTCTTCAGGATGAAACGTCCGCAACATATGTCGGATTGCTGGGGGAGTGAGATCATCATGGACACAGAAAGGATGATTGAACTCGCGCAAACACTCGTTATCGTCGGGGCAGTGGCCCTTGCGGCCGTCTGGTTTAGGTAAGAACGCACAGCGAATGGGGGGGATGGATGAGATGCACCTGCAGATTCTGCACGTTGATGGCATGTCGTGATGATGTCCTTGTTTGCGTATGCATTCAGCATGAACCGTCCGCAGTATATGCCAGATTGCTGGGGAGGGTGAGATGATCATTCATTCACAAAAGAGGAGAGATCCCATGGAAAGCAACCATAGTGCGTGTGTATGTGTTGTGTGTGCTGCAGACGGGGAAGGGGACGCCCGCTGCTGTAGAGGCGTGGCAGGGATTTATTGCAAGGCGGAGGATCGACGGAGTAAGTGAGCAAAGAAAGCCCGACAAGTTCGAGTGTATTTGCATCAATGACCACATCTCTTTCCAGGCTGTGAGTGCTTGGAACGAGTCAGCAACGGCGATGGCTAGTTTGGTTAATACGGACGGCCTCAGCACCAATCAGTCGCCCTCACACTTGTGGAGGGCGTGGTGATGATGGCTCTCTTACTGTATGACCAGACCATAGTATTCTCCTCCCACGGCCGATACACGCACATGTCTCCATGTGTCTCTGTGTCTCTGTGCGTGTCAGGCATCGCTGCCTTTATTTTATATCTGCGGACTCGTCAATAACATTTCCGTCGTCGTCGTCGAGACGCGCGCCTCCCCTGCAGACTGCGGTCAGACACAAAACTTAATCGTTGGGCCACCATTATGTGCCACGTTACCAACCACCCCTACAAGGGTGAGAGAAAGGTCGACGAAGCGAAGGCTTATTCGGAGGGGTCTTGGCGACGACAACCGGCGTCACTGTGGGTATCCTGCAGATGAAGCGGGCCCTCCGCGCATCCCTCCCCGCAGGCATAGAGGCAGCCCCACCACAGCCAGCATGTCCAACATGTACGCCGCATGCCGTCGAGGCCATTCTTGTGTATGTGTTGGTATGTGCGTGTGTATTGGTCAGGGTGAATCGGTATGCGGTCAATGACATGATTCAGACCTACACGGTGAGTGAATGAGCCACGCAAAGATGTGATGCCTGTGTGCATGGCGTCCGTGTGTGTGTGTGTGTGATTGGTCAGCTGCCCCGGTTCCGCTGTGCAACGACGTCTCTGCTCGACGAGTACGGCAACAGGACCACATCCATCATGGACATCGGCTTGAGGGCCGTTCGGCTGCAGAGGTCAGTCAGCCACACACGCACACACACGCCAGCACACACAGATAGACAGCGACGCAGAGCCAAGTGACGGCGTCGGAGCTGTCTGTGTGTGTCTGTGTGTTGGCGGCGCAGTTCTGCGCTCATCCGACCTGAGTGGATGGTTGAGATGAACAAGAGGTTCTCAGCACACCACCGCACAGGCACGGACACAAGCACGCGCAATGGATGTGTGGTGGTGGCCTGGCTGTCTGGGGTGGCTTACCGAGTAGGTCCTGAAGGCCTTTTCGTTGAACCCCTTTAGCCGTGAGGGAGGCTTGTTCTGGGGCGAAGCGTCGACAGAAGAGATGCGCTGGGAGGATGGATGGCTGTTTCCCAAGCAGCTGCAGTACCTCTGGACCTGGCTGGGCAAACACCGGGACGTCCTCAAGCCCGACCGCAACAAGGTGTGTGGGTGTGGGTGTGGGTGTGGGGGTGACTGGGTGGATGGATGTGCTGCATGTGTGCAGTCCAAGTATTGTGCGGCGGGTCTGCACGGGATGACCAAGGGGTCGACAACTGATATGCGCTGGGAGCATGGGTGGCTGTTTCCCAGGGAGCTGGCGTCATCTGCGCTGCAGTACCTCAGGGAGACCTGGGATGGCAAGCACCGGGATTTCCTCAAGCTCGACCAGCATCTTAACAAGGTGCGTGGGTGTGTGGGTGTGGGTGTGGGTGTGGAGGTGACTGAGTGGATGGATGTGCTGCATGTGTGCAGGCCAAGTATTGTGGGGCAGGTCTGCGCCAGGGTGAGGCGCGGGAGACACCAGCCACTCGTGACCAATGAAGCTCCTTGTCTGATTTGTCTGGTCAGGTACGCTCTGAAAGGCCCACAGGAGATGACCACTGTGTGGGGCATCGAGCATGGCCCTCCTGACGTCGGCAGCATGGAGTACACCCCCCTCATCCCGCCCGAGTGCAAGCCCGTCGTTGGCGACGCGGCAGAGATCGTCAAGCTGAACGACCACTGGCACCTGCACCGGCACATGCACCTTCCCAGCCACAAGCAGAGAGAGCCCGGCGTGGGCAGCGAGATGGCCCTCGTTGCCCACGAGGGCCATCAGGGGCAAATCGAGGGGTTCACTCTCATTGGGGAGGAGCAAGGAGGAGATTTCTTCGAGGACAGTGACGATGACGGCGGTGTCGACTTCGAGCCGTTTGTGGGTGCCGACGGAACGCATGGCGACAATGAGGAGCGACGAGGGCTGCCCTCCTCCCAGCTCGCCGGCTGCATGCGACGAGGGCCGCCCCTGCGGAAGGTACAAGCAGAGAGAGAGGGAGGGAGAGGGAGATGGCACATGGACTGGCACATTGATCATGCGTCGTGTATTTGTGAAGGCTGAGGGGATGGAGGACATCGTTCCGCTCGTGCGACGTCCTTGAATGGATGCAAAGACACACCCAAACACCGGTGCGGAGAAAGAGCCGTGCGTGTGTGTGCGTGACTGTTTCACACACACCCACCTCAATTGATGGATGCACTGATTGCTGTCATTTCTCTCAGACGTCGACGTGAACAGGTCCATAAACTGATCGAGCGCAACACCCGCGCCTCTTTCATACGTTTCTGTTTCTGTGTGCAGGGAACATTATTGGTTGCCTGTCATGCGACCCGGTACCCCTTCCCACTTGCAACCAACGCAGGCGCACCACTCTCTCCTTCCCCCTCTATGTCTCAGGTGGCATGGCTGTGAGAGTCCTACAGTCGCTGAAGCTGGAACAGATACCGCTGCCTACATTTTATATCAGTGGCATTGGTGTGGGACATTTGAACCACGTGATTGGGCTGGGAGCGAGGGAGGGCGATCGTTGCGTTTTCACTCCCATATGTCTCTCTAGGCATTACATCTACCATATTCGTGTCTCGAATGCTATGTTCGTATTATCCCTCTTCTTACCTCCTCCTTGTTTGAAGTAAAAGTGACAAATGTGCGGCGACAGTTGGCCTCTCCTTCTTCTTTCCACGCTCCTCCTCACCCATGGGACCCCAGAGCAGGGGTGGAAAAAAACAAAAAACATCCCGGACGAAACGTTGGTTCAAATTGATGTCCGTGACTTCCCGCAAGCGATGGCTTTCTCTGCACCCCCAAATGACAAAACGCACCAAAGCGGAAGCGGCGCTTTACACAGAAGAGGGAAGGGGTGCGAGCTTTCGAAGGATCGCCAATAACCAAAGTTAGTTGAAAAGAAAGTGTGCGCCGCTCCTCGTTATCATACCAAGACCCTCGTGCCGTGGACCAACGCGTGTGTGGCCCCCGGCGCATCGTTACACATCAATCACCACCGCTTGATACCAAGATGGATGTGGAAAGGAGTGCCGTCTTTATTGCGGCGCTCCGCGCTTTCATCGTGATGTTCGGGTAAAGGATTCCGAAGACGCGCACGCACGAGCCGCAACCATGGATGGGGTGCATCTGTGCGTCTTTGATCTTGTTGTTGGTATGGTCTTCTTGTTTGCATCTGCATTCAGCACTTACCATGCTGCTCATTACGACCTGTTATCCGTCTGGGGGGGTGAGATGATCATGCACTCACAAAAGAGGAGAGATCAGGTGGACGGCAACCATAACACACGTGTGTGTGTTGTGTGTGCTGCAGAAGGGAAAGGGGATGACGCGGCATCACCGCAGCCGGGATGCTTCGAGCCCCCCCTGCCGCCCCATGCCCACTACAACGGGATGGCTCTGCAGGGCGACAAGGACGCGCCAGGATCGGTGCTCGCCTACAGATGCGAGGAGGGCTACCTGCTGAAAGGCGTGGCGGAGATCCGCTGCATGGGCGAGGACAAGTGGAGTGATAAGCCGCCCGAGTGTGTGCCGGTGACCTGTGAGGCGCCTCCCGTACTGCTTAACACTAAGGCCTCTCTTCTCAACTCGACTGTGACCGGCGAATGGGTGCCTGTGCCTGATGAAGGCGGGCTGCCTCCCAGCAGCGCCTTCAGCTACACGGTCGGGATGCAGGTGGCTTATGAGTGCGTCCAGGGCTACCGCAGTGACCACCCCATCACGGCGGTCTGCACCAAGGAGGGCATATTCGAGTATGACGAGAAGGAGGAGTGTGTCCCCATCTCGTGCCCCCAGCCCGAGCCATTGGCTGCGGCGACCACCAGTCTGTACAAAAAAGCCAACAGCACCTTCCTGCCGACCCCTGACAAGCCGGCGACCACCAGTCTGTACGACAAGGCCAACAGCACCCTCCTGCCAACCCCCGACAAGCCGGCGACCACCAGTCTGTACGACAAGGTCAACAGCACCTTCCTGCCGACCCCCGACAAGCCGGCGACCACCAGTCTGTACGACAAGGCCAACAGCACCTTCCTGCCGACCCCCGACAAGCCGGCGACCACCAGTCTGTACGACCACCAGCCTGACACGCCGGTGGGCCCAGCCGTCTATGAGGGTGCCCACGACAGACAGGTGACCCTTCGCAGAAGGCTGCGGGAGTGCGCCCGGCGGCAGGGGCTCACGGTGTCGCTGCGGTGCCGCCAGCTCGTCAGCAGAGGGATCGACGAGTGAGGAAGGCGATGATGGATTGCGGGACGAGGTGGTGGTTTGATTGGATTCTGTGTGTGTGTGTGTGCAGTGCTCACGTATCGGCCACCCCGCAGCCGGTCATCGAGGTCGACCTGATGGACGACCTGACGGCAGAGCGAGACACCGTGGCCGAGGGCCGGGACAGCTGCATAATGCCGTCCCCTTCCCGCACGATCGTCCTCGTATGGTGAGGAACACGCATGGCGACAGACAGACAGACAGACAGACACCACAGCAATTCCATCGGGTCTGTCGGGTACGTGCGGTGCAGGCTGCTATGCGCCAGGAAGCCGAGGCGGCGGCGCCGCGTCGGGGGCGGCCGTGTCGTGGCCCTCCGCCGCACCAAATCGTCGCCGGCCCTGCTCATGCGGCCTCAGCAGCAGGTGACTGAGTGGCAACACAGGCAGAGAACCCCACGCTGATGCACCGTGTGTGTGTATGTGTGTGTTGATGCAGAGAGAGGGAGGGGGCCGCTTTTTGTGGCAGGATATCATCGAGGGAGCGGCTCAAATTCAGGTGGGCAGGTGCACGCCACCCACACGCCCTGTCTTCGGCTGATGAACTGAGCGGGTATTTTTCGCTGGTTCCTTACCTTTAGGAGGCGGTGGTGGCCGGGGTGGTGGCTGTGGTGCCGCAGGTGAGAGAGGAAGACCACAAGCAAACCAAACGACACAAACCGTTGACTGCGTGTGCTGCCCTTGGTGTGTGCGGCAGGTCGTCTATGTGCCTGCGCACCCCGTCCACCCCGCCGTCCTGCTGCCCCAGCCCGTCGCCGCCATGCCGCCCGCCCCCGCCCCGCCAGCCGTCATGCCCCCCGTGGTGGTGGTGGTGCGCCCGCCCCAGCTGCCGCTGCCGGCGCGTGAGCACGCCAAGAAGATGGCGGCCTACAAGCAGCTGGTGGCGGCGGGCTGGTGCCGCTTCGCGGCATACTGGGCCGCCTGAGGCACCCACACACACACATGGGTGCAGGGGGCGGGGAGGGGTATCAGGAGTCAGGAGTCAGGATATCAGGATACCAGGACATCAGGAGTAGCGTTTTCTTTTCCGATTTATCGAGTTTGTGCTGTGTGTGTGTCGTTTATGATGTGTTGTGTGATGGTGTCGTGATGGATGTGGTGGGTGTGGGTTTTGTTTGTGGTGTAGGGGCGTCTGTTTGTGCCGTTTATGAGTGGTCTGGTTGTGTCTGGTTGTCTTTGTCGATTTATGCCTGTGCTGCTGCTGTTTTTTAGAGCCATATATACCCACACACACAGTGGCCGTCATGAGGGGAGAGGTCGATGGATGGATGGATGGACTATCCAGTGCAGCTGTCAGTGGTGTGTGGGTGGGTGCAGGGGAAGGGGTCTGTTCTGACTAGAGAAGCCCATTTCACCTTTGTGTGTCACTGTGTGTGTGTGAGTTATTGACTGTGTGTGTCTGACTGTGTGTCATTGGGGTGTGTGTCTGTGTGTCTTCGATGGGTGTGTGTCTTTATGTGTAGTTCTGATCTAGAGAAGCCCATCGCACGGTGTGTGTCTGTGTGTGGCTGCATCGCATGTCGCATTGTTCGGCTGTTTGGCCGTATGTTTGTTATCGCTGGTCTCTGTCTGTCTGTCTGTCTGCCTGGCTGACTGTCGTGTTCGTTGTGTGTGTCTGGGGGGCCGGCCACTTCCTCTGCGCCCATCCACCCGCACCACTGACTGCTGATGCATCCGTACGTATGGCCATTCATCCCCCCCGAGGCCTCCTCTGCATCCATCGATCCATCCATCCACCCTCACCAGGCCCCAGGCCGACACTGTACATATTGTGTGTGTGCTGGATTTGTGCCGTGATATCTACTATATGCTGGGCACCCCCATCCCCCTACTGCATATACAGCCATCCCCTACATATAGCCGTCCACGATGCGGTTTGTCGCCTTTTCTTTTGTCATCCTGTGTCTGTCTGTCTGTCTGTCTGAGGGCCGGTGGGCAGGCTGCTTCGCTGTGTGTGTCGTCGTGTTTGTTGTTGCTCTGTGTCTGCGGTTTATCAGGAGGGCTAGCGGCAATGGGTGCGTTTCTGGCTGTGTGTTCTGGTCACAACGGGCTGCGTGGGTTTTGGTTGACGACGATTGCAACTTACGGATGCATGCTGGATAGGATACCTTTGCCCCCTCCACAGTAGGGAGGGGGCGTCAGGAGGGGCGGGGACAAAGGAGACAATGAAAAGGGAATGAGTCAGTCCGTTGCGTGTACCCATGACAGGAAACTGCAGACCACACGAAAAGGGGGACTGAATCCATCCACACACATTCACACAAATAGGCAGACCTATCGACAACCGATCTGATCTATACTACACATCTACAGCAAGGCCCTTGTATCTCGCTCTCGCAAGCCAGCTCACATTCCCCTCGGCCCCTCCGCAATGCAACACAACACACATCCTCTCCTCCCTCTCGGCCCCACCGCCAATCGGCCACCGTCTCCCCGCCCACTCACCGGCCCCCCCATCCCAACACATGACACTTCCCCTCGCCCCCTCCCAGGCCTCCCTCAGCACCCCCCACATCGGCACGCTGTACATCAGGTCGAAGTCGATGCCCGTCGAGGAGACCAGCTCTCGCCACAGCTGGAAGTTGCCCTGGGTGGGCTCTCCGAAGACGGACGGCGGGGTGGACGGCACTGCTATGGAGGGGAAGACGCCATGACCTACAATGAAGCAACGATCATTGCAGAGAGAGAGAGAGGCGTCCATGGCTGTATGCGTACCCCCGGTGAGGTGATCGAGTCGGCTCATCTGCCTGGCCATGTAGGCCCAGTCGCCCACCACAGGCACCACCACCACCTCCACATCTTTCCTGCGCTGCATGTGGCGGGCGAGGAACAGAGCGGTCGACCCAGTGCCACCAGGCAACACGATCGTCGCTGCTGCTGCTGGTGGTAATAATGAAGGCAGCTGTGTCAGAAGCTCCTCGGCGAGGAGGGCCACGCCTTCCTCAGCTGAGCCACAGGCGCCCCCCTGGACACAGACATACACACACAGGGGTGGCGGGTGTGTGGGCGTGAGGTACCTGCGGAATGAACAGAACATCTTCCTCCTGCGGCATGAGAGTCTGGGGCAATGATGGCGAGCCGGCATCTCCACCAAAATGCCTGCACGCAGACAGACAACACACACACAAACACACACACACACGCATGGATGCGTTTGATAGCACCTAGCCACCAGACGGCTCTCATCGCCTACTTGGCGTATTCGGCATTCGCAAGAGGCCGAAACTCCACGCCCTGTTCCAGCGCCGCAGCAAAGGTCCCAACAGGCCGCTCCCGCAGCCACGAAGGTATCTTCTTGCAGTAGTACAACAGCCGGCAGGAGCCACCCCTCTCATTGTACGTCCGGACCAGAGCACTCAGTGCCCTCAACGCGTTGCTCTGAACGCCGCCGTGGCTGACAATCACCCGAGGGGCAGAGGTCGATGAGTCGCTGTCAAAAAGCCGTCTGTGCAGGGCGAGGAACTTTCTGGCTTTGTTGCCGTTGATGTCGCTGGGATGGAGGTGCAGCAGGTCGTCGCGCTTGACCATGACGCCCATTTGGCCGAATGCGTTGATCTCCTGAAGCGGCGATGGAGAAGGATGCAGATAGCAGGCGAAGTGACCTGAAGTCAGTGGGTGCACGAGATGAGAATCCTCATGGCCTGCAGCTGTTGTCCATCTTAGCAGATCTTTACCCGTGTGAATGGTGACTGATGCGGACGTCAGAGCCGAAAGGACGAGCAAAGATCTCATTCAGTTGCTGCTGAGATGAATGATATGATGCTTTGTTGGCATCCCGAATCGTGCATTCCGCCTCCAGTCCTCACCGGACAGCAGATTGAGGGGACTGCTCACTCTAGCGGCACGAAGTGGTGCTTCATCGTGGCGCAACCTGTGCAAGGTTCGCTGCCGAGCTCGCAGGGGAAAAGAGAGGGACGAATTCGTCAGCCGATGGCGCTCACACACAACACACAAAGCTTCATTAGATCCGCGCAAGCACGGAAAGTGACGCATCTGTCACAGATGACACACAAAGCTTCATTACAAGATTGGCGCCATGTCCGGTGAATACAAAGACGCACACACACATTGACCGGCCCGCTACTAAACCTCCGCCCAGCCAGCCCTCAGCAACCAGCCAAGCAATCAAGGAATCGGAAAACCACACCAGCACGACGCACACGTGTGGAGACGCACACACTGCCTGTCAGTGTCTCTGGCTACATAGACACCTCCAGGTGTCTCAGGTATTCCCTCTGCACATACTCTCGTATCTCACTGTCCGCCAGGACGTCAGCCTTAGGTCGCATCACGGCCATCCGCCCCACACGCACCTCAGTGTCATAGAAAACACTGATTGGCGCGTACTCGGGCCGGTCGGCGTCGTTGAGCACGAGCACGGAGTCCGTGTGGTTCATGTAGCTGAGGGCATGGAGGGCGGACGCCACTCTGTAGCGCCCGTCGACAAATATGACGTCGAAGTGGGCCCTGCCTGGCCGGCCGATGGCCTCGACGTACTGCTGCGTGAACTCCTGAGTCTCACTCCGGGGCACACCTGAGTGACCACACACACACATCCAACCACACACCGGCCATGTGTCTTTGTGTCTGTGTGTGTGTGTGTGTGTGTTGTCTTGCTGTCACCCATCCTGCCCTCTGACGCACGTACCAAATTTGTCGGTTTTGCCGCCGTCGAGGCACATGAGGTGGAGCTTCCCCGACCGCTCGAAGCATGACCACCGCTGGTCGGCCCGCAGTGAGGAGCACAGCTTGAGGGCGTTCTCGACTGACCATGACTCGCCCGCCGTGGCCGCCGCAGCCAGCGAAGAGCCCCCCGCACCCCACTCGAAATACACCGACTATATCCACGACACACAGCGCGGCGTACACACAGATAAGATGTGCTGTGCTGTGGTGTGGCCCCTTACGTCTGGTCTTATCAGCGATTGGAGGGCGCTAATCTCGTGGGCGTTGAGGCTGACTGAGTGGATGGATGTTGGGAGCGTTGAGCAATCGACCGTCGTGTTGGACGACAACTGGGATGCACTCACAACTGCAACACACACACACACACACACACAAACCACACATCAGACAGACAGACAGACAGCGGATATCTCGCCCCGCCCGGCCTCCTCTCTTTCTCCGCGGACGTACTGAGTTGGTTGGCCCTTCCGCGCATTGCCTCTGCCTCCTTCCTGGTCTCCTCCATGGCATCGATGACCCGGGCCCCCTCGTCCATCAGCTCACGCACCTGGCCCAACAACTTGACCGCACCACTGGCACCATGCCCATGGATCGTCGAAAAACCATCCGCAAAACCACTACCGGCTCCCTCCTCTCTCTCCCCGCCTTTGTGAAAGAGCTCCACGACCAGGTGCGAGAGGACGAGAAGCGCGACGACAGAGGTGAGCAGTGTGAGGGTGCGCGGCAGCAGCCATGCCGTCACGGTGTGGTGGGATGAGAGCGGGAGGGCCGGGAGGGGGATGGGCGAGGGCAGGGGGGAGTCGGAGGATGACGGGAGGGGTGACTCATCTGCCTTGTGTTTCTTCTTCCGGGGAGGGTGGAAATGGCCGCTGGGAGGCCAGCGGATCGAAGATGACCTGCAACGAACAGCACACAGGCAGCAGCAGTCACAAGTTTAGCAGTCAAAGGCGGGTCAGTTTAGTGTGGTGTGTCTGTACCTCATCTTGCTGCCATCTCATTAATTTGTCGTGTGTGGTGGCTCAGGGGTCACACACACACCCGCATGCCTTTCCAGGAGTCCTTTTCTCCATCGCGGAGTGGATCCAAGCTCGCTCCCTCGAGCTCGCAAAATGACGAGTGAGACCGCGAGCGAGCGAAGGGAGGCATGGCGGTGACGAGGTGAGGCGTGCAAAGCCTGGAGCCTGTTGAAGCCCCGAAACGACATTTCGATTCATAGCTTTTTTGGTGGTTTGGCTGCACGATGGCTGCCAGCGCTGCTCAGGTGAGAGAAGAGGAGCCAACCAAAGCACGTGAACGATGGCATGGGGCTATATCTGATTGACAATGTGATTGTTTGCCATGTGACGTCTGCTGCAGACGTCAACGGCGGCGATGCGGCAGCAGCTGCTGGCACAGATTCAAGCCTATCAGACCAATCAGGCGCGGGTAGGTAACCAAAACATTCACTCACTCAGTCACTCATTCAGTCATTCAGTGCATCCGTCGCTCATCGGCTGACTGCTTTGTGCTGTTTGTGTGTGCTGTGGTGCGCAGGTCAACAATGGCATCGGCCGACTCACTCAGATGGACACCGCTGCGATCACACCACTGGTGCGGACAGACTACCACACACAGCACAAAGGCCTCTGTGTCATGATGCTCTCGTGTGCTTGATTCGTCAGATGGTGGCCAATGTCAGTCGTCAACTCGCCAACGAATCGGCCCGTCTGGCCCAGCTGGCGGACAGCATCGACTCGACCATCGCACTCACAACACACACCCACACACAGGTGAGAGAGAGACCACACACACACACACACAGATCTCGATGTGTGTCTTTCTGTGTGTCGTCAGGCTCGGCGATTGCACGTGACTGACATTCCCGCCGAGCCGATGAGCACCATCCTCGCATTTTCTGCCCTCATCACCGTCGCCCGACTCAAGTCGACAGCCCGCCCTATCAGAACGCCCTGCGGCCCATCATCCGCCGTATTCGGCTGCCGAAGGCCATCGAGCTGGCGGGGGTGGGCGGTGTGGTGCAGTTCGACGATCAGCTGAGCCACGGCGATGTGATGAAGGCCATGTGGGTGGTGGAGGAGGGGGGCGAGGGCGGCTGGCGGGAGGTGGCCGACACACTCAGACTTTCCGAGCACTGCGGCTATTGCCAGCTGCCCATCACTGTGGACGCCGGAGATCTGCAGACACACGCCACCAAAACGGTAAGCACGACACACACGAGAAGAGGCAATCGGGCAATGAGTGGATGGCGCTCTCTCTCTGTGTGTTGGGTGCAGGACTACTCGTCACTGCCCCGTTTCTGTGCCCAGTGGATGCTCGTCGGCCGCCGTATGGCCTTTCGCCGCTCCAACGGCCAGCATGACGGCACACTCGAGCTGTTCCGCCACAATGACAACGAGCTACGCCTCATCCGCAACGAGCCCGGCTTCGCTATCACCCTCAACCCGCCCCTCCCCCGGCCCAACCGCCCCGTCCATCCCTTCTCACAGCAGCCCTTCCTGCAACACGCCAAGCCACACGACCCGCCCGTCCGCTGCCGCATTACATGGCAGCCTAGTGTGGGCTGGGTGCCGGTTGCTGCCAACAACGGGGGCGTTTCTGCATCGGCGAGTTCCATGTTGAGGACCCTGTTGCTGACTCATCGGAGGACGGCTGTGGGCGGCATGTCCCAGTCGCCAATAGTGCACGTTGACCGGTAAGTGGATGGATGAAGGTGGCAGGTCGCTGGTGGTCTGCGCCAAACATGGATGTGTGTGTTCGTCAGGAGTGTGCGTGGCGGTCATCTGAATCGTATGCTGACCCGATCGCCTCACACGCTCCTTGACGGATGCTCGGATGTCCTGAGATACGAGAAGTCCAGTGGTGACTGTGTGCAGATGCCTATGCTGACGTCGTCCGATAACCCCTTCATCGCATACATTGCCTTCGGCTTCCCTCCAGGCCTCAACGACAACCAGAACGGTACGCATACACGTTAAGTAAGAGCACATCGACAACACTTCCATGCCGTCGTGGTGTCTGATTTTGTGCTCATGGCTGCGTGCAGTGCACATCATCATCCGTACCACCGAGGCGCCAGCGGCAGGTGTGGCCAATGACGCGCCCTTCGCCCAACGATTCCCACGGACGGCCTCCAAGGCCCGCCGGGTCCTCGGCCCCATCTCCCCCATCGCCCTCGACGGGCAGGCACCATAGACACAAGGTGAGGGCCACACACATGACGCAGACGACCTGATGTGTGTATATGCTGTTGTATGTTGATGTGTGTTCTGCAGGGCGGCTGGCTGACGTCAAGGAAAGACACACAACTTGTAGTACCTGACTGTCTGGCGGGGGAGCGGGCGAGCGGACTGGTGCACTATGTTGTGCGAGACCGATTGGAACGCGGAGCGTGTGCACAGATCACAAAAAAGCGGAAGAAGGAAACCATCTTCCGGGCCTGCTTGTCTGCTCTGGAACGACACCAGGGCACAGCCAAAAGACGGACACATTGGATTCAATCCCCCAGGGAGAATGCCCTCGGCGCTTAGCTCGCATGATCCACGCAAAGTGGATCCTTGAAATTTGGGCAGCGCAGCGGCTGGACGTTTGACAAAAGTACCATATCTGTGACTCGTGCTGCGCCGGAATGATTGTTCTCGGCCCGGTGATTGGCAAAGTGACCGGCACGTCTGCAAGGTAAGATATCCCCCGAGCGGCGGTGTCTGCCAAGCACCCACATTGCACGCCCATGCGAGTCTCTGGTGTCGGATGCGCGCAGGATCTTGATAGAGGTCGAGAGTTCCATGGCTGTGACGTGCTCTCTGTCGACGGCTGAGCATGGAGGGGTCTCACGCACCAAGACATTCACGGCTGGCAGGCCCGGCGTGTTTGTCTTCACCGGCCTGACACCATGTGCGCAGCAATGACACATCTGCACACCACACACACAACCGTGGGCCCCGTGTGTGTGTGTGTGTGTGTGTGTGCAGGCACCCACTATTCGGTGGCTTTCGACGCGCCCACCAACACCAAGGAGCCGCTGTCCTGCTCCTTCACCACGCTGCCCACCGTGTGGACGCTCGAAGCAAGGCCGCCCAGGATTGCTGTGGTCTCATGCAACAAGGTTGGCGGGCTGATGTGGATGGAACACACAGACACACACGTAAAAGAGAGAGAGTGTGTGTGTCTGTGTGTGTGTGTAGATATGGACGACACACAAGGATGTGGAGCCGAGTGGCGACCTCTGGGGAGACCTCGAGCAGCGGGTCAAGGAGCGGTCCGTTGACTACCTGCTGCACATCGGTCAGACTCAGTCGCCAGGATGACGCACACACCCATTGCTGGATTGATGGATGGGTGGATGCTCGTGCATGGTGCTGTTGTCGTAGGTGACAATATCTACGCCGACAGCGATTTGTATCTGATTGAGGGACACAAGCGTGACTTCCAGGGTCCTGATGACGAGTGCAGGTTCGCCGTGGCCAAGAAGCTCATCGAGGATAAACCCAGAGATCAATGGGTGAGAGGGAGGGAGGGAGGGAGGGACACACGAGTGAGCCTCTGGGCGCATTCGGTACATGTGTGTGCAGGTGAACGAGTACGAGAACATGTGTGAGATCTTCCGTGACGTGTACCGCCTCACATGGGGCCACCCCCCCACCAGACGCGTGCTGGCCAACATCCCCAACCTCATGATTCTCGTAACCACCACCACCACCACCACTACTCGTGTGTGGATGCATCTCTCTCTCTCTCTCTCTGTGAATGGTCAGGATGACCATGAGATAAGGGACGACTGGGGCGACACCGACGAGCACAGAGACCCCAAGAACCCCGACCACTATGTGGCCATGGCGGCGTATCAGTGCTACAACGAGTACCAGCGGCAGTTGTATGAGGACTTCACGCTGCATGAAGTGCCCATGCCCAACTACCCCCCAATGCTGCCGCCACAACCGGCACCTCACTGCGCATACCACTTCCACTCATTCGGTGAGAAAAGGGGAGGCACAGCTCTCATCTTCCCATGTATGCCTCTCTACTTCTCTCTCTCTCTCTTTCTCTCTCTCTGTGTGGTTGGATAGGTGAGGTGGGTTTCCTGTTTCTCGATTTGCGTGCGTGCAAGACATTCCATTGGAATGACAAAACCGACAAAGACTTGCCACACATGGTGAGTCGGGAGGGATGGATGGATGGACAGAGAACGGCAGCGTACACACACTGAGTGTTTCTCATATTCTTTCGCGTGGGGTGTGTGTAGGGTGCGGCCCAGTGGGATGCCCTTCGTGAGGCGCTGGGTGAGGGTGGTACGTTCGATGGGTGTCGGTTCGTGCTGGTGTTGGCCTCGGTGCCTGTGGCCTACCTCTCACACACTGTCAACCAGCTCGCCGTCAAAGGTGGGCTGTCCACACACACACACACACACACACACACAAGGAGAGAGAGGGAGAGAGAGAGGGAGGGCAGACAGGCAGCAGATGACATAATGCTGGGCTTTGTGTGCTGTCGCCATGGCTCGTGCAGTGGTGAACGACCTCAATGGGAGCTGGACGGCCACAGACCATCTCAAAGAGACCGAAGAATTCCTTAAAGTAAGCAACACACCCACCCCCCCAACCCTCCTATCACACACACAAACACACATCCAGTCACTTTTTGCTCACATGACGTTCCTTCTGTGTGCTTATTTGTGTGTGAAGCTGCTCTTCGCATGGCGGCGAAATCGGCCCGACGGCCATCGAGAGGTGACGATTGTGGGCGGCGATGTGCACGAGGGCGGCATGACCGAGATAGTCGACACAACCGTCGGCGTGTCAAGGGGGTCCACCAGGCCAGCATCCGCCAGGCTCAAGCAGATGACCTCATCGGCAATTGCTAACAAGAGGCTGCCATGGTGCGCCCTGACAGAGAGAGAGAGAGAGAGAGAGACGGATGGCTGCATGTGTCTGCTGATGCGTCTTTGTAAACCGTCGTCAGGTATCAGGCAGCCGCCCCCACCCTCGCCCGTGAGCTGTCAGCCCGGCTGCCGGGCCACTACTCCTTCGACCACTTCGGCTGGGTGCAAGACCGCAACTACGGCCTGCTGAGCGCCTTCATCGACACGATGAGCACCTCAGCAGGCGGCAACGGCCAGTGTGTGGATTATGACCTGCAGCTGGTGAGCAGCGACGGCAAGAAGGTGACTGAGCATGAGGCCATCAACCGGATGACGGACCCCAAGACGGTGGACAAGGGGTGCTGTGGGGGGTGCTCTGTGCAGTGAGGGATAGTGACAGTGGTAGTAGGGGAAGGGGGAAGGGAGAGGGGCTCTAGTGCATGGCCTAGTTCATGATGGGGGCGTGTATAGATAGCTTTGCCGGACAGAGACGACTTGACTTATGACCGATCGGCTATGCGATGTGGGAATAATGTTCTCAACACACGCATTCTTCACGCCCAGACCTTGCGCCCGCAAGCATCTGTCTGTCCATCATGCAGCACCCATCATGCAGCACCCAGTCCACACACCCACCCACCAGCCAGACAGTCGGCTACTTGTGTGTCTTTCCTTGACGTCAGCCAGCCGCCCTGTGGAACACACACCAACATACAACAGCATATACACACATCAGGTCGTCTGCGTCATGTGTGTGGCCCTAACGTTCTGTCTATGGTGCCTGGCCGTCGAGGACGATGGAGGCGATGGGGCCGAGGGCGCGACGCACTTTGGCAGCTGTCCGTGGGAACCGCTGTGCGAAGGGCGCGTCATTGGCCACACCTGCCGCTGGCGCCTCGGTGGTCCGGATGATGATGTGCACTGCACGCAGCCATGAGCACAAAATCAGACACCATGACAGCATGGGGGTGTTGTCGAGTTGCTCCTTCTTTATGTGTAAGCGTACCGTTCTGGTTGTCGCCTGAGGGGTGCCCAAGGTAATCCATGCGACGAAGGGGTCATCCGACGTCAGCAGATGCGATTGCCTACACATCCCACCGACCGCCTCCCATGTCATCACGTGTGAGCACTCGTCAAGGGGCGTGTGGGGCGGCCGGGTCAGCTTACGATCCAGATAACCGCCACGCACACTCCTGACACACACAGACACACACGTTTGACACAGACCACGAGCGACCTGCCCTCTTCATCCATCCACTTACCGGTCTACTGCCACTAGTGGCGACTGAGAGATGCCGCCCACGGCCATCCCTCGGTGAACCAGCATGAGCACCTTCAGCAGAGAACTCGCCGATGCGGAAACACACCCGTTGTTCACACCTGCCGTCGTCCAGCCCACACCATCATCCCACAGAATGCGGCAGCGGACGGGCGGGTCGTGTGGCTTGGCGTGCTGCTGAAAGGGGTGCTGCGAGAAGGGATGGACGGGGCGGTTGGGGAGGTGGAGGGGCGGGTTGATAGTGATGGCGAAGTTGGGCTCGTTCCGGATGAGGCGAATCTCGTTGCTGTGGCGGAACAGCTGTAGTGTGCCGTCTTGCTGGGCAGTGGGGCGACGGAGGGCCACATGGCGGCCGACGACCATCCACTGCGCACAGAAACGGGGCAGCGATGAGTAGTCCTGCACCCAACACACACATAGACACAAAGAGAGAGCCGTTCACTCATTGCCTCTTCTCATGTGTATCGCTCTTACTGCCTTGGTGGCGTGTGTCTGCAGATCTCTGGCACCCACAGTGACGGGCAGCTGGCAATGGCCCCAATGCTCGGAAAGTCTAAGTGTGTCGGCCACCTCCCCCCAGCCGCTCTCGCCCCCCTCCTCCATCACGCACATGGCCTTCATCACATCGCCGTGGCTCAGCTGATCGTCGAACTGCACCACACCGCCCGCCCCCGCCCGCTTGATGGCCTTCCGCAGCCGAATACGGCGGCTGATGGGCCGCAGGGCGTTTCTGAAGTGGCGGGCTGTCGCCTTGAGTCGGGCGACGGTCATGAGGTCAGATTGTGCGAGGACGATGCTGATCGGCTCGGCGGGAATGTCAGACAGGTGCAATCGCTGAGCCTGACGACACACAGAAAGACACACATGGAGCTCTGTGTGTGTGTGTCTGTGTCTGTGTCTGTGTGGTCTCTCTCTGACCTGTGTCCGGGTGTGTGTTGTGAGTGCGATGGTCGAGTCGATATTGTCCGCCAGCTGGGCCAGACGGGCCGATTCGTTGGCGAGTTGACGACTGACATTGGCCACCATCTGACGAATCACACGAGAGCATCATGACACAGAGGCCTTTGTGCTGTGTGTGGCAGTCTGTCCGCACCAGTGGTGTGATCATAGCGGTGTCCATCTGAGTGAGTCGGCCGATGCAATTGTTGACCTGCACACCACAGCAGACACAAACAACACAAAGCAACCGACGAGCGACGGATGCACTGAATGAGTGACTGAGTGAGTGTGTCGGTCAGATACCCTGGCCTGATTGGTCTGATAGGCCTCAATCTGTTTGAGCAGCTGATCCCTCGTTGCCATTTCACTCATCTGCACCAAAGCGAAGGACAACACAATCACACGCAGACAGACAGCACACACGATGATTCACGCCGTGATTCACGCGATTTGCTTGGCCTGCAGGCTGCTCGTTCTCTCACCTGAGTGGCGTTGCCACCCATGGTTGTGCAAAGCTATGGGTGAGACCGATTCCTCGGGGCCTAACGGAGGAAGAGATAATTGACAGATGGCATCCATGCACTCGCTTGTCCAAATCGCCTCCATGAATCTATCCACATATGCCTATGCACAAAGGGCACGCTCACTCATCCGAT